TCGTAAGGAAAAAAATATTTGTTAACTGTTTGACTATCTCCGAACTAAATCGTATTGAAATTTATTTTGACACCGTTTTAGAGATTCATAAAATAATCGTACTGAGATTTGAACCGAAAATAACCGTATTGAATCGAGGAACCTAACAAGACCCGATTTCAATTCATACAATCCATATACATATAATATTTCATCTTTTTGTCCATCTTGGTACATAATTATATTTAAAATTGAATTTCATATAAAATTCATATACATTATTCATATGCCCATAAGACTATCATAAATCTATATATATATATATATAAAGAATTACTATTTATCAAAAATAGTAGCCATAAAAATTTTGTAATAATTAATACATACTATAATTGGTAAGATTTTAAAAATTCAATAATAATTAATTAACTTCATGCATAAATCTCGCAAGCTTACAAAATCCTATTCTTTTGCATAAATCTCGACAGATTAAAAAATTTGATCCTTTTATCTAGCATAACAGACTTTGAATAAAGATCGACAAGTTTACAAATTTCATTGGCATAAATCTGAATAAGTATATGTTTAAAAAATCTCACTACAAACTCTTAACATACTGAAAAATCTCACATATGTTTAAATCNAAAGAAAATTAAGAATAAACATATAAGTAAAAATGTTTTATAATTATTATCTAATCATCGAACTCACTATATATATTATTTGGAGAATGAGTGAAACTATATCTATATATATATATATATTAAGCTATTTGAGTATATGATATATTTAATTTAACATATAGGTGTTAATAAGAGTGATTAAAATTTCTTTAAGCCTATAAGTTATTACCGATACTTTTAAATATATTGTTTAAACAATTATTTTACATATTATATGGATATATACATAATTTTATATATTTTTAACATGTTTTCTACGAAATAGTTTAGAAAAGTTTTAAGTGGATTCTCATCTTTATGTTTCTTTACAAAATAGTTTTAAAAAATTCGGGTGACTTCACATCTTTTAATAATAATATAAAAAAATTTATATACTTTTGCATATGTTATATAATATTTTAGGTGTTTTTAATATTTTATTCATATAGTTTTAATTTTCTCATATACAAGATAATTTATACTGTGTTATACAGTAAACTATATCTACATCCCATGTTAATCAATATACATCTTTAATTTATAATTATTATTTAATATTATTTACCTATATCTTTAATTTATAATTATTAGTTAATATTGTTTACTTTCATCTTTAATTTAATATTATTTAATATTGTTTACCCGTGTACAGCACGGGCTACGCACTAGTTATATTTAAAATTGAATTGCGAATAAACATCCACTATTGAATGTTAATAGGATTTCATGATTGAAAAAATAATTATTTTATTTTGGTACTACATATGAAATACTATTAAATCGAAGATCTCATTTTCAAATCAAGTTTGAGACCATGTCTTCCTTAAATAAGATCTTCGATATCATTTATTTTCTTACAAGTTAAAATAAAATAATTAACTCCAAATACATAGTAAAAGAATAACTAAGAGATCCTTTTTTTTTTTTTTCATTTCATTCAAGTTACTTATTTCAGGAAATACAAAGATGATAAATAAATATAATTTTCGATTGATCTCAAATTCCATTTTCTTACAAAAGCATCTCATAAGTCATTACATGATACAAACCAACCTATAACACAGCAATAAGCTGCCATTAAACACCACAAGCATATTTTTTTGATAAATATGTATAATTTAAAATTAAAATGATTATATTTTAAAAAATAATATAAATACAAGTCTGATGTTTTATAATATTAGCATGCAACTTTATTAAGAAAATTATAACGGGTTGTCCCAATTAATTGTTAGGTCGAATCATACACGAAATTGTGTAATAAATAATACCCTCAATTAATGATTAGGTTGACGAATAAAAAAATGTGCGTTTTACTAAGTTTCATAATTCGATTGCGCACTGAAAACCTTTTGATCTCTAATCCAAAATATTATTTTTAACAATTCAAATTTTAGCTTAAAAATTTTAGCCGACAAATATATATGATTATTTTAAATTAAACATTATATTTTAAAAACAATGTAAACAATATATAATATTTTATAATTTTATTAAAATAATATGATAAGTTGTCATCACACATAATATGGTGAGACACAGAATTTGTATTTTTGACAAAAAGTTGGTTCCCTACACCAATTGCGCACACTGGAAACTTTTGATCTCTAATCCGAAACTCCTTTTTTGAACTTTAACCACAAAAAAAAATTAAAAAAAATAAAAAAAATAAATAAAAAAAAAAAATGATCCTTTTTTATTTTATCCTTGTTTTTATTCTTTTCCGTTGCTAAACAATATAATAACTGTGATAAATGCCACCGCCTCGATCTTGAAATCGCAGCTAAGTATTAAAAAATGATGATGAAGATGATAATCACGTAAGCTCACTGCTGAGTGGCACGTACCCCTTACACGCGTCGGCCTAGCAGGACGCGTGGCATCTTCCCTTCACCCCGAACACCTATAAAAGGACCCCAATCCCCTCTTACACTCTCACTCAAATTTACTGTACTAATCAAAAACGGAGTTTCTATCTCAGTTCGAAATAGTTTTAGTTTTAACTCTTCTATCATAACACAATTTTAGTTTTCAGAAATTCTGTTCTCTCATAACAATGTCTTCTCAGGAGCAAACCTACAGAGCTGGTGAAGCCAAGGGCCGAACCCAGGTAAAAAAAAAATAAAAATAAAAATAAAAAATATATAGAATTAGATTTTTGAGCTAATGATTGAAAAATAAAAATAAAAAATAAATTGCAGGAGAAAACAGGGCAAGCCGTGGAGAGTGTGAAAGAGAAGGCCCAGGGCGCGAAGGAGAAGACCTCTGAGACGGCCCAGTCCGCCAAGGAGAAGGCTTCCCAGACGGCCCAGTCCGCTAAGGAGAAGGCTTCAGAGACGGCCCAAGCGGCCAGGGATAAAGCGGGCCAGATGGCAGAGTCCGGTAAGGAGACAGCAGAGGCGGGAAAGGAGAAGACAGGAGGGATTCTGCAGAAGACTGGGGAGCAGGTGAAGGGGATGGCTCAAGGGGCGGCTGAGGCCGTGAAGCAAACTTTTGGGATGAGTGGGAACGAAGAGGAGACTGAGGACCCCAACAGGAATAAGGGTTACTAGTTTTTCTGAATATTTGATATCTGTGTTTATCTGTGATTTGTTTGTTTTATGTGTTTTCTGTGTTCTTTGAGATAAGAAGGGAAATTTCGTAGCCTGGATGGTTTTGCTGGGTGGGAAGTTTCTTTGTTGTGTGTTCTTGTTGTGTTTGGTTTCGGAGTTTTCAATGAAATATTTGTCTGGTTTGAAAATATATGTTGTTGTCTAATTGTTAATCGTTGCTATTTCAAAAATTCTATGTACGAGCAATGATTCGTAGAAAAGAGAATTTTAGAGCAACGTACAATAGCTCAAAATAGCTCTACATTCCGTAAAATAGCCCAAAATAGCTCTATATTCCGCTGTTAATCAGCTGGTGAAATCAGAGATATAAGCTAATACACTCAATCGGTTAGCTAATACAATCACAATCAGCTGGAGATAAACAACCGAACTATGTTTCTGGTTTAGATAACTATTTAAATCCTATTTTGATTCATTTGTTTCTTGAATAGCGTAGTAACTTTGAGATACTATTCACTCCTTTGGGAGGAAAACCAACGGATTCTTGTTTATTTGTTTTCTGAGATCGGATGTCTTCGGATATGATACATATGAATGAAGATTTGAAATAATTTCAAAGCAGCCCTATTTTCGAGGGCATCTTCTTGGTGGCCAACATAATAAGAAATCTCTATTTTCTTAGCGAATTCAATACACGAGTACAAATCTGAGATGAGTCAAACAAGCCTGACTCTATATATATAATCTTTATAAAGCTCATGTAAGTTATTGCAACATTATCTATGCCGACATTGGGGCTCAGTTGCATTTACTGAGATAACACTCAGCTTAGACTTAATAAAGAAAACTTGTTATTCTCTTCAACAAGAGGTTCTTGGAATGTGTTTAAGCAGCACGACAATGTGAATTTATAACGAAGTTAATTTTTATTACAACACAGAAGCAACGTACATATAATAAAACAAAACTCTCAATGGGGTTCAAACTTGTCAAAAAAGGACTTCCACAAATACCAAAGGTTCAACTACATTTTCATTAACTTAAAACAAAGAAAGATAATATAATGGTCATCAAACATGACACAAACAACCACCTGTTTTTTGCCAGTCAAAATTGGTATTATAAACTCCTATAGCTGTAGAGGATTGTCCAAACAGTTACAATCACAACCTCTACATCTCAAAATCGTCACGGAACTGCTGCTCTTGATATGAGCTTCTCTTGGTTTCATCAATTACAGAAATTCAAGTCCAATGTCCTGATAAATGTAGATGGAATACCTGTGGAAATTGGGAAAAAAATAAAAAATAAATAAAAAAGCAAGCACACATGTAGATAGACAGAGAAAGAATTTCCATAGAAATTTTCCAAGCTGCTAAATTTTGAGATATCCTAACATTACAAAACTGCATCATAAGAGCCAATAAACAACGTTTAAACACAAACACTTACCAACATGTGATTCTTTATGTTCACCAATGGCGGCTATTATCTCTTGCTGCTTGTGGAGCACAAATAACGAAGTGTATACTCGTTGGAAGAGCAAGTATCAGCCAAATCTTGATGCAACCTAGTAATCGACTTCTGCAAGGATTTCAAAGCAGGGAGCAGATTCCTCGAGTTTTGCTGAATAGAATTTCCATGGGCTCTGCAAAGTTCCTGTAAAAATGAAACACAAACTCAAAATTCAAGCAAAACTGCTCAGGAGCACAAACAACCCACATTTACTTTCTATTTTTCGAGTTTTCCATTTGACCTTTTTTAGCACATTTTATTCATGTACAGTCTTATACTTTGTGATAAATATATACATACTATTTTTTTAATATCAAGATATAGTTTGAATATAGACCTGGCACCATCTGAGAATGAACTCAATATGTGGACACTTTTCAAGAAGATCAGCAAGCGCCTCAACTAATCTCTGCAAATATTTGCTCGGCATTGACGAGGCGACACCTGGAATATCTGAAGGAGTAACAGACACAATACACTTCTTGATAAGGGCATCTTCGTTCAAGCGGAGACTGAGGATTAGAGCTCTTTTTGTTTGGTTGTCTCTCAATGCTTCATCAACCGCCTACTCGAAAAAATTTAACGAATGAACATATCAGAAGAAAAATTATCAGTAACACATGAAAGGAACAACTTTTAATCAAAATAACAATTGTGCTTTTAACCTAACATGAAAGGAACATATGTATTATTGCCTCACCTCGGGTGTAACATCAATGTCCAGGTCAGTGGGGTCAAATATAAATGAATCATCCATAGAATACAACAAAACCCCCTCAGTAGTTGCAGCTGCCCAGCTTCTGCCAGTTGGTGCAATTTTCAAGCACTTTGTTCGAATAATAGGCCTCCCTTTATTAGGCATTGATCCTGGCAGGTCATATCCCGTCCTGTTTCGTGTTTGCTTATCCACACCTTCCTCTATGTCACTATTATAGTCATCGATTAAATCCAACGGTCCAGCTTCAGTCATATTCTTCGAGTTTAGAAAATCAAGAACCCCATCTAAGGATAGGTTGAGGGTTATTTGGAATCTCCTTAGAAGCACCTGAAAGTTGGAACAATATTTTCACAGACGATTCACAAATAAATTCTAGATATTGTAATGTTCTTGAGACAATTTATGAGAATGCTGTGAAAAAATAATAAATACAATTGAAAAGTTACAATTTGTTTCCTAACAATGCGGAGAAAGAAAAACTAGGTAAGTGAAGCTGCTGCAGTCTTGATAATAACATAGCGAGGAAAGTAAGACAAAAATGTAAAAAATATTTTTCCAAGAAACTAGGTTGATCATTTGAAAATAAACAGATCTTAAATCAAAGAAACAAAACCAACAATTGCCTTATTGTGAAAGGATAGAAATCATAATATTATCAAAAGCATCACAAAGACTCAGATTGCAGCTAACCTGATCAGCAACATCATACATACAAATATATTTACTACTTCCCCCAGCCAATATGTAGCTGCCATCGGCAGAATAACACAAGCTCGTGAAGCACTTTCCGGCAGTGGAGTTAGCAGCTGACCTTCGGTCAGTCATGAGTCGGCCACCTGCAATGTCCCTGCGGCCTTCAATTGTGAACATCTCCACGCCTTCCAGTGGGTCCCAGAAATGAATCTGCCCATCTAATGTACTGCAAGCCAGCTGTTTACCATCTGGGCGGTAAACAAGTGTAAGGACATCATGCGTGTGACCAAAACTCTCAACACCCGCTTTTCCTTCATAAATGTCCCACAAACGGACAGTTTTGTCCCAGGATGAGGAAGCCAGGATAGCCTGCATTACCAGTAATTAAATGTCTCAAGAGTAAAAAGACATTATGCAAGGAAAAAAAAAAGTGACATTTTAGAGGGAGAGGATGTGTTCATTAAGGAGCTTACACTAGTTGGAGAAAACATTAGCCCATGAACAGGACCCTCATGGCCGCTGAGAACATCCAATAGCCGGCCAGTCTTCATCGACCAAACAAATATCTAGAGAAATCCATTGAGAATCGCCACATTATTGCATATCATAAACATAGATCATTTATATTGCCGCATTTAACAAATATAAATACCTCGAATGAATCGAGAGTTCCAGCACAAATCACTTCACCACTCTGATCTGCAGCTAAAGATACAAACTGCTTTGGTGTAGGGGTCACAAATGTCCTAAAGTTCCTATAACGGAACAAATCCCATGCACGAACAGTCCCATCAAGAGACGCACTCAGAAGGCAATGGTTGTTGGCCATGAAATGCAGGGCAGTAACAGCATTCGTATGCTCAGAAAATGTCACAAAGCAGAACCCCGAAGAAACAGTCCAAACCTGCAAATTCAAGGCAGTTATATTCCAGTATACACTTTAATTGGCTTTTGGAGATAGACATGAGCAGATGTTAATTATGTTAACATTAAAAGAACATCTAATCACTCCTCACTATTAAGAAGGAACATTAATTTGGCAGTCATTTAGACACAAAAGTGAACATAGCGCAAGGGTGCATTTCAGCATTTGTAATAATGCACCAGGCCAAAAAGCAATGGAATTTCACAAACCTTGACTTTGTTATCATCGGCTCCAGTGGCTAAAAGCTGAGAATCTGGAGAATAAGCAAGGCAGTTTACATCAAAATAATGCCCCTGCTGTTTAAGTATGTAACTCTCTGATTTCCACTCCCACACGAGCAGCTGCCCGAGCTTTGCACACCCAAAGATTAGCCAATTCCCGAGATCATTAAATACGGCCGTCGTAATTTTCTCCCTTGAAATTGACAACAAATGAATGCACACAAAATCGGGCATCTGATAGAGTGCAAACACCCCATTTGAGAATCCCACAACCACCATATCAATCCCCTTGTGATAGTGGCATGCTGTTAATTTTGCGGGGGCTTGCATGAAAAAATCCTTCTTCAACAGTTCCCATTTCATGTTATGCAATAAAAAGGGCCCATCATCTTCTTCCAAGTCTTCATCTTTAAAATCCTTCCTTTTCTTCAAATTAACCCCATTGCTGTTCTCCCCATTCTGCCCCAGTCCCTGCTCTGGTGTTCCTGGAGATTCTGGCTCTGATAAATCTTCCTCCATTTCCTCATGTTCACCATCACTGCCACTGCACCCCCAGCTAAAGATGGCTCCATCACGAGATATAGTGTAAACTCTCTTAACCGTGTTAGTCTTCTTATCAACTCCGAAGAATGCTCCCACGACCACATCTCTGTGACCCAAAAACAGAAACGGCTTAACCAAACCTTTGGTTTTATTCCGCTCTTTGTTCAAGTAGAAAAGCCTCGCAGTCAAATCCCTCGACCCAACAACTATATAGTTCGAATCGGGGCTCCAGTCAATCGACGTAATACGATCATTACAATCAGCAAATGTCCTAACTAGCTCGAATGGAAAGAAATCCTTTTTAAACCCTGGGGAACGCCATAACTGGAGGAGCTTACCGGCGGCGACGGCGATGAAGCGGCCGTCGGGGCTGAACTTCGCGTCAGCTACGGGATGCTTGAAGGTGATCCGGTGCAGGACGGCGCGGCGGGGAAGGTTTATGAAGAGGCAGCGGTTGTTCTCGTCGACGGACAGGAGAAACACACCGTCCGATGAGGCTGCAATGCGGCGGAGGTTGGTGGAGGCCTGGCAGGGTAGGGTTATGGTCTCTGATTTAACGAGGTCCGTGACGGAGACGCGGTTGCCGACCGGGGAGATCAGTTGGGTGTTGTTGACGACAACGACGTTGCCGCCGCGGTACGGCGCGCCGAGAAGATTTTGGAACCTGTAGTTCATGTTGAATATGTACGAATGCAAAAACCCTAATTGGTTGTGAAAAGGGTTTTTGTGTTTGAATTTTAATAAACCTTTTATGGGGAGTGAAAAAAACCTAAATGGGTCAAAAGGGATTTTTTTTTTTTAGCACCATCAACAATCAGACTTGAAAGTAACCTCTCTCAATTCATTTCATTTNTTTCAAAAGATAGATAACATAAAAACCTCTAAAGATTACAACCGATTGCCCATTGGCAATATTTAATACCTTTACATTTAACACACTAAACGCAACGAAAAAGAAGGCTCCTACAAGGAAATCTATCCCGAACCAGACAAACTAGACTAAACACATAACACACAACACTTTCCCAAAAGGAAAACAAAGCCACTCCCCAAGTGGGAGACAACCACTCCCCAGGTGATAGACAAAGGCATTACCCAACGGAGACCAAAACACAAAAACAAAAACAAAAAAAGACACAACAAACAAGAACACCTAACAACATAAACCAAACACCAAAAAGAACACAGAAATAAACAAGAAAAGCCCTTCCCACAGCAGATGAACCAAGCCGAACAAACACTACACCGACACCCACGGGCAGCCACCCACACAGACAGAGACCCGGTCCATGTCATGAATCTAGAACTGCAAAATAAACGCCTAACTAGACTCGAGACATAAAACCTTGCCCGCCCAGGTAGACAACCCGAGACCCACAACCGGAGATCAACAACAAGCTCCACCATTCTAGCCCCGACGACCCAGGCCCAGGCCACAAGACCTGACCCCGAATCTGCAAATGCAGCCTAGAGACCCCAAAAGCAGAGAAATCGGGAGAAAGAAGGAGAGCGGAACGGCCTGATCTCAGCCTGACCACCCCACAAGAGACGATCGAAGCCACAACCCTTAATCGCAAACTCGCAGTAGACTCGTCGCCGGGGAACCGCCGGCCAAGACACTCCATGGCAACCTAATAGGAGGCGAAAGCCAGATTGGGCAAATCCGTCGTTTCACCCGAGAAGAGGGAGCCTCCAGTCCAACGAGCCTTCAATATCCGGCCGAACAGTCCGGGGATGACTGGCGCCGAGATGGCCCGACGAGGCCCTGTTGAGGAAGGCGTGGTTCATCGCCGAACGAGGGTTTGGTTGATTGGGGTTTTTCTTTCGGTGAGAGAGAGAAAAGTTAGAGTATAATTCTTGAAAGTTACTGATCTATCCAACTCTCTCAATTCAATTCAAGACATGAAAAAACTAAATTTGGGGCAATCAGTTTTGATATGGAGCCATTAGATGACTCGACTTATAGAGTCATCCGCACTTATTCACCAATAATGTATTGACATATGTCCTAAAATAAATACAACATGGACAGGTGTATATTAAGTGGTGGATGACTCCATAAAAAAACCATATGATACCTTCATAGAATTTTTGTCTCAAACATATACATCATTTCACATCATGTTGTCATGGATAGTTGTATAAAAAAATTGTACAAGTAAAAAATATTGAAAACTCTAAAGTAAAAAATATTTTATGTTTCTTATTTATATTGAAAATTTTTAGCTTAATTTTTGTAATTGATGGACGTATAAAAATTTGTTCATATTTTTTTATCTGTTTTTAGATTTTTATTTATATTTTGATACCTTTTATTTATATTATTGTGAATTATGTTCAAAGTCTTAAATTGTTTATTTAAGATATTTCGAGGCCCAAATCGATAAATTTAATCATTCAACCCAAAAATAGTTTAAATCTTTCTTATCCCAAATTGATTGAATTATATGTACTTTTTGAACTATTCGGAACCGGAATCGGCAGTTCAAACTATTGTTTATATTATTTTTAGATGAACTGGGGTGGTGGGAACCGTTGGTTCACCGAATCGGCACGTGCTTATGTTCTAGCCGATTTAAAGCCCTCCATCCCTTGGCTTGGAACCGACAGTTTCGATGTGAAACCGGTTTTAGCCATGTCTAACCCGTGCAACTCACCGCTCCACTTGTATATATGCATTTTATTTTCTTTGCTTTTTTTTCAATGAGGTTTGTGGGAGTTTTGATTATATAAATCTTGTTTGCAAACTCAAACCTTAAACTTCTATCAAATAATAATAACAAAGCTAATATGTTTTTCAAACATCTTGAAAACCAATTACTAGAGATGCAATTGAAAATCCACATGACTGCAATACGCAATTTCTACCACAATTTAGTCCAAAGATAAACTCCACCTTTTCTCATCAAGATATTGTTTTCTCTTTTAGGCAAGAGGAGAGGACCTATACACCTCCACTTTTCACCATCACCAATAGAAAGCACAAAAGGTAGTTGCAGAATTTTCGACTCTCCATTTTATTTTATTTTTTTCTCAGACAGCACATACTTTTGTAACTAACAAACTCAAAAAGAGTACAGAGGGGTGTCAACTTACCTAAGGAATTAGATAACTAGACCTACTCCCTTTGAACTTTAGATGAATCCAAGAAATACAACTCCATCAAAAAGATAACAGCAAACACAAAACAAAATTCCAAAAAGGAGACCTAAACTCCATAAAAGAGAGAAAACCATACAGAGCTGGATTAACAGACGAAAAACAACAGAAAGAAAACGCACACCTAATATACAAATTAATTAAGATCTCCCCTACACCTAATAGACCCAACGCCCGGCTACCCGGGACCGCATACGAGCTACTCCCAATAGCATAGAGACCCCGTCGAGCAGCAAATTGGAACCTCAAACCCGAAAATTGCAATTACTCGCCGCCTAGACGGATCTAATGCAGAGTCGCTTTTCGATTCAGATCTCCACTCCACAAAACCAACTGCACGGGGGAGTGGGAGGGTGCCGCCACGAAAATACTAACACACCTCGCCGGAGTGCTCGAAAGAAGGATCCTACAGACGACAGACCGCATCATGGACCCTAAACCTGAAAAACACAACCCCTGACGAATCGACCGTCAGCAAATTCCTTAAGCTGAGGCCTGAACGTTGACGGCCGACGGTCTCAACTTTGGCCGGGGATAGTTGGCGGCGAAAACTTCAGACCCGACGAGGGGCGAGAGCTCCAATTCCAGGTCGCCCACAAGCCTCGAAAGAGACGAATAAAGGGTCACAGCCTTGACTTGACGAACCCCAACTCCTAAAGCTCGACGGCAAGTCTGAATATGAAGGAGAGGCAGCGATGTTGCGAGAGAAGACTAGTTTTTCTACTATTAGAGAGAAAAAAGAGGGGCGCCTCCCATCACGCGTCGGCTAGTCTTGTTCTCCATTTCTGTTATCACTCATTTTCATTTTGCCCTTTGACCTCCCCCATGAAACACTTTCGTTTCTTTTAAATATTATATTCACCAAAACAATAAAGTTAAAAGCTCTGCGCAAGATTACAAAACTCATTCATGTGGGTCAGATTTATTTTTCTACAAAATCCACCCTGTCTTACAATGATTGAACCCTCCAATTTTATTTATTTTTTTAATTATTTATTACTCCCTCCATTTTGAAATATAAGGCATTTAAGGTTATTGCACAAATATTAAGGAGACATTAATTAATAAATAAATTGACTAAATTAACTTTATTTACTCTAATCACAACCACTCCACACTTCTTTAATTTCAACACAATGAGGGTATATTTGGAAAAAAATGCAAAAATTTGTCTTGATTTTTAAGCGCGCCTTATATTTCAAAAAAAATGAGAAATCTTTATACGCCTTATATTTCAATGTCTTATATTTCAAAATGGAGGGAGTATTTTGTTCTTGTTGGCATCTCAAATATATTATGCTCTTTATACTCCCAAAAAAACATCCAAAAAACTTCAGAAATCAAGATTTGTTAAGATGTGGAGCAATCTACCGTTTGATCTTCTAGAAAACATATTCACTTACCTACCGCCGGACTCTCTGGCCCGGGCCAAGGCCGCCTGCCGGAGCTGGCATGTAGCCGCCGAGTCCGTATCCACCTCCGCCGTGACCCACCGCCACTCGCCGTGGTTCCTGGCCTTGCCGACGCAGAGCTGGAGCCTCCCTTGCTACCTCCACAACCCAATTGCCGACACCTGGCACTCATTACCTCTTGATGCCACTGCAAACGCCGTTAAACCCATCGCCGCCGTCGGCGGCCTCCTACTTTCGAAATTCGCTAGCTCAACTTCGCTTCAGCTTGCCATTGTCAATCCTCTCACCAAGCAATTAAGAGCCCTACCGGCGTTGAAAGTGCCGAGGACAAATCCCGCTGTTGGAATCGTGGAGAGCTGCTCAAACCAAACCGCCGGCTTCAAAATCTACATCGCCGGCGGGATGTCCGCGGCGAAGATCGGCGGCGGCGCGGCCTACCAGCAGACCGTGGAAGTCTACGATTCCTCGACCGGAGGCTGGGAAACGATCGGAAAAATGCCGTTCGAGATAGCGGTGAGGCTAACCGTCTGGACCCCGAACGAGAGCGTCCCCTCGAACGGGACGCTGTACTGGATGACGTCAGCTCGGGCTTACAGCGTGGTGGGGCTAGACGTCTCCACCTGCGCCTGGCGGGAGCTGAGCGTCCCCATGGCCGATGAGCTCGTATTTGCGGCCCTGGTGCCGAGGAACGGGAAAGTGGCGTTGGCCGGCGGCACGTGCGGCGGGGACGGCGGCGTGTGGGAGCTCAGAGACGACGAGGGGTGGAGTATGATTGGAAAAGTGCCGATCGAGTTGGGTGTTCGGCTTTTGGGGGTAAGAGCAAATTGGGGGCGCGTGAAGTGCGTGGGGGTTGAAGGGGCTGTTTGTTTGTATAGAGATTTGGGATCAGGGATGATTGTTTGTAGGGACGCGTTTGGGGATGGAGATTGGGAGTGGGATTGGATTGACGGCTGTTGTTCAATTGGAGGCCGGCAAATTGGGAATTTTCCGGTCAGAGGGTTCTTTATTTATCCCAACCTTAATCGTGATGGGTTTTAGGTGTTTTTGTTGTCTTTATAGATTGTATTACTGGTTTGGTTGCCCTTTATAATTGAATAATGATGCAGTGAGCGTTCACTATAATAATTCTTTTGCGAACAAACTGACAAAATTTACCTAATTATCGTTATGCATGTGCAAACACAAATTAATGATTGTACTGATCATTACATGCTCAAAACATGATTTGGTAGATTTGACTTGAGAGTAACAATATGTCATTAAAACTCGATCCAAATAAGGTTTTTCTACTGTTTAACATGATTAATCAAAACGACCAAAGTTAACAATAGTCAAAGCTTTGCCAAATAAGAAAAACAGTACAGACGCATGCTTGTCTCATTAAAATTACATCCACAGATTGTTGAAAAGAAAACAAAGCTTTACATATAAGTCGGTAACAAAGCTGCTTGCTAAGGACACTAAAGAAAGCTTTTAAAACGTATTGTTCTTCAAGCTCGCACGTCAATGAGCATTTAAGCTCTCACTAGTGTCGGTTTACTACAAAGCTTGAGTAGTTTAACTTAACCCGTGAGCTCTTCCATTCGGCCCTAGTTCATCATGGTTGTACCAAGTTAAGATACTATTAGTAAGCAAAATGTGGATGATAGCCTAAGTATTGTTTACCTGAGTAATGTATTGCTCAGCATCTGTACGTTTGAGGAACATAATAGCATGTCGAGCCAAGTTGGCCGTTTGATCGCTAAGTACAACCTGGCCAATATCGTCCAAAACTCTCACCTTAATGTAGGGATCTTTAGGAGGAACCATATCCTTCAAGGCAGAAATAGAAATAGAGAAGAAACACAAGAATTTAATTAGATAATTGGATAATGGTACCTAACTCTATATGTTTCGGGTTTTCAATAACTAATAAAACAAAGTTAAACTGAAAATAACAACTGGATGATCTGTAGCAACTAGCAATATATAAACTTTTCAATGTTTTGAAAATTTAGATAATCTTCTTGCAGCTCAAGGCGGTTCATGTAGGATGCTTCAAATTTGTGTAAACAAACATCAACGAGTTCTCTAAAACATTGGCTACAGAAGGTAGAAATAAGTCAACTCATCTACAAATAAAACTAAAGAATAATGTATCTTTGGAGCATCTAATCTCTACAGATTATTTATTTATCAATACCGTAATCCAGAAAACACAGACAATTGAGAGACATGGGGGAGGGAGGAAGAATTCCAATCTTCTGTCATATTGAAGTCATGGTATTAGCATGCATTTCAGAATCCACAATCTGCAACATGCAAATGAAAATTTGATGTTCTTGAATAAAATTGCAGGTGATAAATGTTTATGTTTCCTCAGAAACCACCTAAAACGTAGTGAAATCAAATAATTACCATCGGGCTACTTGGTATGCAACTAATTGCCAAAATCACATTTTTAACAAATATAACATTTCGCTGTATCGGTATCCACAATTATACAATAGCTAAACTCTCCCAGCCCCAAATTCTACATTGCAGTGAACCACAACGTCATTTCAAGCACTGAAGTACGAACGATATAATTTCCTTCAATGCAAGAGTTTCTAATATCTATAATAAGAAGCTACTGAGATCTAAGTCAGACAAGAGCTGTAAATATAGGCGAGAGTTGTAGATTTAATAGAGAACAAGAGAGCCTTAAGAAGCTTAGCACAGATTTTTACCAACATCATCCTTCAAATTAAACACATGTCCATGATTTCAGACTAATAAATACCAAATAGTGCCCCACTGAACGTACTCCTGAAATATCTGAATGCTTTCAACTACTTCACAAATCAAGCCACCAAGGAACTCGCGACCACAAGGGAATTATAAATGCATGGAGTATTTGCTAGAGAGATAAATTACCAGAGTCAGATGAAGATCAATCTCTGACATATATGACTGCAAAGTGGCGGTATGCTTTTTGAAATATTCTTTTTCTGTGGTACTGAGTTTCTCTTCAATTTCTTCAGGAAGCACGCGGTCAACCATCCACCCCAAACTCCTGATGACCTCTGCTCGATTATATCTATAAATTTCCCAAGAACAATATATAAAGAATGTGGAACATAATAATAGTAATAATAATTTTTATTTTTAAAAGAGACAAAAAAAGGCTTTGGGAGTGTTGTTATTACTGACACATAAGCCATGAGACAGCGCTTATTGCGGACCAGTGAAAGGTGATGCACGAGTGCCCCAAACTGATTGGATTTAAGGGCCATTTGTATGGCATTCTTCTCGGCTTCTAAATTCCTATTCCCTACTTCGGAAGTCCCCACATCATCGCCTGGTTGTCCTTTTTCTCTCAATTCCTTCTCGTGTTCTTGTATTTTCCTATACCACATTAGTTGCCAGATATTTTTCTAAGGAAAAGATAATAAAAAGGAAAAATATCTGAATATGAAAACCATTAAAGAAACCAAGAAAGAAAAAGACTGATAAAATGAGAAAATGGAAAAAGGAACACAGAGACCTACAAATTATTTGTTTACCTGATTAAAGGTTGAAGCTGAAGGAAATGTGCATCACATTCTTCAAGCACCTGACCAAATAGGTCGTTCTGTATGCGCAAAGTAAGTAATGTGAGCAAACTAATTAAAGCTCATGATACTTTATGTGATTGCTGACCATCACTCAGAACATGATTTTCTATAAATCTCTGCAAAATATCAAACAAAAGAAGCACTCAAATAGAAGTCTTCTGATTGCTGAAAAAGGAGAAATCCAAAAGAAATAAACCATAGTCATGATGCAAGATCAACAAACCTCTGATTCCAACAACAAACAGAAACATCAATGTTACACTTACATTGAAAGTGTTAAGTTGCCCAGGTTCACTACTGGCAAATTCTTTCACCAACTCGCTCGCTTTTCGAGCATACATTTTCCGAAAAGTTCAGCCGGCTCAACTCTTTCTGCAAAAATCCAACACAGGCATTTCATCAAACACCTTATCAAAAAAAAAAAAAGAAAAAAAAATTGAGAAAGAAAGCAAATACCTTCGACACGAAATTTCTACGAAAACTATAAGAACATGCTCAGAGGTAGATGACAGAAAAGTAAACCAACAGCAAGCAGAGACCGATAGCCGGCCAGGATCTGACAAGTACAAAAGGCGGTAGAGTAAACCGACTGCTCTTCGTTGGGCGGAGCTAGGATTTAAAATTACCTGGGGCTAATGAAAAATTGCGATCTCCGATTCTTTTTTAATTCAAACTCGGTGATTATAGTATCATTACTAATCTTTTCGACTAACTCCCTTTTAATGTAAATAACCATTGAATCCGTCAAAAAGTCCTCTTTCATCTTATTACGAAGCACTTTTTTAACAAGTTTCATAGTCGAAAATGCTCGCTCTGTAGTCCCCTTTCACTAAACATGTTAGATTGACTTATAATTTATATTAGCATCACAAATGGAATTATTTATATCATCTGTACTTAAGCACTTAAGCAGCTTACTCCTTCTACCTTTACCAGGTATAGTCTTACAGTCACCCTTGGCAGAAAGACTTTCTTCTTTCTTAGAGATTCAAAAGGGCTGAAGCCCCAACTGATCCACCAATAATAACAATACTCTATTACTTGTGCCTCAACATCTTTATCTAACTTTCAATGTATGAATATTATTTTACAGATTATATGGAACACAAAATTAATAAATACTATCAGCTCTGGTATTACTATATTAAATAATTCTATCATCATAATTATCATTATTTGGGTGAGTCACATGAAATGATGAACCAGGAACATGCCTCTATATTATATGATGAACCAGGAACATTTAATTTTATTCATATACTTTTATTGTATATACATACATGACTTCAATTTCAAATGAATATTACTTTTTCTAATTATCTTTTTTTCACTTTTCTATCACATTTTTAGAATCAGACAAAAAGTTTATGGGAAAAATATATAAGACAAAAACTGAGAGCAAAATTTAGAGCTCCACAAAATTACAAGAATTTATTCAACATACAACAACTTCCACAGCTTCCAGTTACTACAACACACAAGGAAATTGAATCATGAACCAACCTTAAACTTCCCCTGTTGTTATCATAACAATAATTGAGCATTAAAATATAATTAGATAAAAAATTAGATAAAGACAAATTAAGCAGTAGCTAACAAACAACCTTACACCGTAAATTAAAAAAAATAAAAATATAAAACCTTACACCCTCAATTTTATTCCCAGCGAGGTTTTCGAGTTGCGGCTGTGGAGGACCAGGTTTGACGGTGGCGGATTGGTGGCGTCTCGGAGAGAAGGAGTGAAGTCGGGGAGTGGCGGTGGCGCCGGTGGGTTTGGCGGCAGCGGAGGAGTGAAGTCAGGGTGCTCGCAGAGAGTCGCAGAGAAGATTAAGAACCATACCCCAATTCTCTAATTTAATTTACATTATAAACCAAAAATAAAAAATAAAAAATCAACACTTTAAGTTGGGCAAGACAACATGTGTTTGGGCCAGATAAATGAGTTTCATTTTTTTAATATTTGGGGCTTTTGTCGTTGGGTTGGTTCAAATTAATGGGTGGGCTATGGCTAAAAAATTATATGGGGTTACAAGACAAAACAATATAAGATGTAAACTATTTTTTTTTTTTCTTATATGGGGCTGGAGTCCACCCTAACCCATGGGTGGACTCCAGCCCTGTTTGATTTTTGACCGGACAACAAATGGCGGGAAGAATTTGCGCCATACAAGGGCAAAAATTTAAACGACTATGTGAATTGGGTCTTGGTTGGGCCATAAGATTGGGCCAGTGATTCTTAACCGAAATCGTTGTATCATTAAATGATATCCAAACTTAATCATTTTTGTATAAAAAATATTAATTTATATCCAAGTCTGATTTAAACATTCTATATAATTATATAGGGTGGATTGTTACACGTGCGTGACATGAGATTCATACTATTATGTAAAAATAGTATAGTGATAATTAATAGATCAGAATTTGAGCAGATGAATACGATTATTTTTAATTGACGTTTTGGTTTTATATTTTATAGCTAATTATTATAGTTTAAGACAGATCATCTATTATATTGCATACACAATTTTATTTTATGGAGAGAGGAGTAAATAATTATAAAGAAAAAATAATAGTTAAAATATGGTTAGAGAAAAATGATTATTAGATAACTAATATCAAAATGTATATATGATTTAAAATATTTGATAAAATCGTAAGATAAGAATTGTTAATTTTCGTATTATTCTTCAAAACAGTATTTAATAATAAACGTGGGGTTATCTGCGTGATAAATTTTATAAAGAAATATATTGTAATGATTGATTTTTATTCTAAATTATGTTGATAAAATTTAGGTGAAATAAGTGCATGGTTGTACTTGGTTTGTGGAAATCTGATTCTAGTTTATAATCGTGGTATGAATCAACACATCAAAGTATTACAATCAAGCGCCCAACACCCAAATACATTGCATATAATTTGTTTAATCCTTATGTGTGGATATTTTCCTAGCTAATAAGACGAGACTAGGGCTGCACACGAGTCGAGCGGCTCGCGAGCACTTGAGTCAAAGCTCGAGCTTGACCGAACTCGAGTCGAGCTCGAGTGGCTCGCGAGCGCTCGAATCAAAGCTCGAGCTTGACCGAACTCGAGTCGAGTTCGAGCGGCTCGAGCACGAACTCGAGTCGAGTTCGAGCCCATATTTTACATTGTCAAGCGGCTCGCGAACGACTTGATATATATGGTCAATTACTAAAATACCCTTTTTATATATATAATTTAACAAATTTGTTTGAAAATTTTCGAACCGAACTCGAGCCGAACTCGAGCATTTGAATTCTAGTCGAGCTCGAGCTATTATATTTTCTTATCGAGTCGAGCTCGAGCTCGAGCTTGAGTAGCTCAAATAAAAAAATCAATCCTGTTCGATAAGGTCAATGCTCGACTCAGTTAGGCTCGTTTGCATCCCTAGACGAGATCATTGACAACACCCCCAATAGGCGATAACACACGAATTGTTAATATTATATATATAACAAATTAATAATGGCTGTCAATGTCCCATCTTTCATTTAATTTTAATTCCAATATCGGTAGATAGAACATCATTTATCATGAAAAAAATAAAAAAAGACAATCCTGATAAGGTGATAACGACATTGTTGACTTTTTATGTTATTTTTATTCATAATGTTTTCTCCTTTATGGCTTCTGCATTCAATCTTTTTAATAACTCGGGGATCATAAAAGGAGGCAACCATTATTTTATGGTGGCCACTGATCACAAGTGTGTGTATTTTTTACAACTAATAATTGACGCTTTCACAATGAAAATTACTACAATTTTGTGATTGATACTAAATATGGATGATAAATTGAATTTGAGTTTTCAGATTCGAATCAATATTAGATATTGATCTTTAAAAAATATAACTATATATATACAGCAGTAGCAACTCTTGTAATTTTTAAATTTACTACATATCACAATAATTCATTTACATAAATCATTTTTTAAATGAAGTTTTGACCTCTGTTACCCTTCTTTTGCCAGGCAGAGCAGCGCTTCTCATCAACGGGATACTATGTATATGTACCAACCACCAACAAGATCACATTCGTATAATATTCTCCTAGCTTTTCTACAAACATTCAATTTATTATGCTACCCCGAAAATATCATTTTTGTTTATTTATTTTAATTAATAATAATACCAAAAGGTAAAATTGCAAGACATGTGTCGGTAGCTAAATGCATTATTATTAAGCTTTTGCATCTATTTGTGTCCATATTGGACAAGCACGTGTCTAGATCAAGTGGGCACATTGAGATCAAATCAGATCCGCAAAATATGCGTACCTATTAAGGTCACGAGATGTTAATTAATAATATGTCTTTCTGCCATAAATTTTGAGATTTTTTACGACATTTCAGTGCTTTAATTTTTTTTTTAATTATTATTTATTTATTTATGAGCAATAAAGAAGAAATGAATTTGGGAATTTTGGTGTCATAATGAAATTGCCTCCCGATCAACTTTACATCAAATAGGGTATTATTCACGTCAAATTCCTCAAATTTGAGTTTGTGTTATTGTAATAAATTAATAATTCCGCTAAAATTGGGTCCAATACATATAAGCTCGACTCAATTTAAGTCACCTAATAAATTTTAAAATCTAGCTATTTTTTAAAAGAAAGTTTTCACTTATGAACAATTTTGGCTCAATATATTTCATTTAAAAATAATTGTTTGCAAACAAACCTAACTCAACTCATATAAACAAGTTGAATTAGATATCCTAGCTCACATTGTTTAAATGATAAATGTACAAACAAATCAAGTTCCCCTTGTCTAAGAAATTAAATGAACAAGTCGAGCTCGGCCTTTCATGAACAAAATGGAGTTGTGTTCGCTAAACTTGTTTTGAATAATAACTACATTTTGTATATTTTGAAGCTTACGTCACAAAAATATTACTACAATTTATTTTCAACAAGAATAAAAAATCACACTAGATAGAATAGAACATTCTAATTCTGGCCGAAAATTTTACCGCTCGTTTTACTTTTACATACAAAAAATTAGAAGTTTTAATTATTTTTCTTTTTAAAGTAATTTGCATTAAATATTAACTTATACGTATATTTTTATCACATCCACCAAATTTTCTGTTATATATCTTTCCGTTCTCATTTTCTTGAACTAAATATTTATGCCATTTTTTATTTTTAAATTGAATATTTATATCTTCTAAACAGATATTTGACAACTTTTTTATTTATCACTAATTTGTGTAAATAAAAAATCCAATTAACGTTCTTTCAATGAATTTTATTTAACACCATTTTTCATTTACAAAATTAATAAATTTTTTTCTGTAATATCCAATAAGCTAATATTTATAGATCAATATCAATGTAAAAATGATAACCAATCTAAAAAATGCTTATAAGTAAATTATAAATATATATTATGTAAAATATTGAATAAATTAATATATAATAATATCTTTTTATCATATATTATTTCAAATAAGTTTGAATTATTTTTATTAATAACATAAGAGTTTATACAACGAAGTGAAGCATCAAATAGATGAGCATAGCTAGATGATTAACACGTCGTTCGTCGAGTCAATATGCAAATTATTCACCCGATAATAAAATCGTAATATTTATAACATGCATTTTAAAAAAAAT